CTTGAAAATGGGGGAAGAAACTTTCCTAATTCATTCTGGGTCAAGGAAGAAATTCAGATCATAATGATAGACCACTTAGCAACTTAATAATAACACTAAGTATAAAACATCAACACAGCCAAAACTGTACTTAAAAGAAGAGTTTGAGCCTGAAAAGTCTTTCAATTTTTAATGAAGAAAAATGGGAATAAATTACATGGGTGGTCTATTCAAGCAGCTTTGGGAGCCGTGCATGATAGGAGCTGGTAGTTGGTGGTTATTTGAGGAGGTATCAATGGCCCAGTTCTGCGGGTGGCCAGCACCACCATGATATGGGAACTGCTTACCTCACTGTTATTTTTCAGAGAGGAAACAGAAGACCTAGGAGACCAGATAATGTACCCAAACACTCTAGTTTCATACTACAGATGCATACTTCGGACCCGGCCATGGGGGTCCAGAATTCCTGCAGATGCTCACCCCAAACCCAGCCACGGGGGTCCAGGATTCCTGCAGACACACACCCTGAACCCAGCCACGGGGGTCCAAAATTTCTGCAGATGCACACCCTGAACCCGACCATGGGGGTTCAGAATTTCTGTGCCTAACTAGCAAGTAGTACAGTCACCAGGGAAAGCAGAGGCAGCACTTGTGGACGATCAGACCCATGCCCTTCTTTCTGACGGCGGGACACTAACATAGAAAATACTCAGGCCGGTGACCCCAGCCACTTGGGAAATCAAGGCAGGATGGCCCTGACCAGGTGACTTAGTGAAAACCTGTCTCAAAATAAAAACGGGGTTAGGGAGATGGTTGAGTTGGTAAATGGTTGCTGCATCGGCCCGAGGACTTGCGTTCAGATCCCCAGCAGCTATGTGAAAGCCAGGCATAGCGACTCACAAGTGTAACCCCAGCCCCTGGGCTGCAGCAGCAGGTGGGTCCCTGAAGCATGGTAACCTCTAGCCTAGCAGATCAGTGAGCTAGCAGGTTCAGGGAGAAAGTCTGTCTTAAAGATTACTAAATAACTAAGTAACTAAGAACTAACTAACTAAGGTGGAGAGCTACCGAGGAAGAGATTCAACACATGGGCAATTTCTAATGAGAACACAAACCAAAAGTCATTCTGAGGAGTCATGAAAGCAACTTTGGTGATTGTGAGGAATGCTGGGGAGGGAGGAAGGGTTGAAGGGAAGAAGGGAAGGAGGGAGGGAGTGAGAGGTGATGCTGGCTGGAAAGGGTAGCTATCAGCGCTTTATTTCCTGGTGTTCTGAAAGTTCTAGATGCAGAAATATGATAAGGAGGGGGAAGGGGCATATATGTGAGAAAGGAGAAAAGAAAAGTAATATGATTCTCTAGCTAGGATTCTGAAGGCAACTAAAAACCCAAATCAATGATTATGAATTTTAGAAAGGCTGCAAAATCTGCACACTGGGATTGCATTACTCTCTTCCATGGAAACAGTGAACATTTGGAAAGCACAATGAAAAATGCACATGGAAAGAGGGATCCCTCAGATGGTCCACTGTAAGAACTGCACAGAGACGCAGATGGAGAAAATTAAAGGCTCCCTTGGAGATGAGAAATACGATTTTATTTTTTTAAAAAGACAAGGAAGCAATCAATTCCCAGAGGAGCAACTTGCTCTTGTAAAAGTGTCAATTATCTTGAATTTTAATTTTGAAAATGTAAGGTCAGCTCAATGAAAGTCCCAATTATTTTTGTTTTATTTTCTTTTTGGAGGACAGGGATTAACTTGTTGTGGTTCCAATACGGTTCCCATTGGTATTTTAAAAACCTTGAGAAACTGCTTCTGAAGTTCACTGGGAAGAAGAAACCTACAGCAAGAGCTAAGACAAAACCGAGAATAAGGATACTGAGGGAGGAGGTGCGGGCGGGGCTGGGGTACAGCATGTTATAACAGTGTTGTAATTACCCCCTCCCCCCCATCACTGTACTTCATGACAGACTGGGGCAAAGCTGAAGGCCTGAAAGAAGCTCAGCATCTATAATTATTAAACACTTATTAAACCTGGCACTGACAATTCATAGAGAAAGTCAGAATTATTCAATCAAGGCTGCAGAACAGCTGGGTACCTATGGTGGGGTCAGAGTCCCATTGCTCACTAGATTGTAAAAAAAAAATAAATACATAAATTACAGATGGATTAAAGAGCTTAAAGTAGAAATGGTATCAAATGCAGGTTTGAAAACATCCTCACGTGTGTGATTTGGGGAGTGGAGAGAGTCCCCAGTTGATTGTTTGTCCAAGCAAACTCAGAATGCTTTCTTCACACTTGTTTTCCTCACACTGCTTTGAAAGCTGTACCTGGTATTTTTGATCGTATTTCCTCCTTAATTGTTCATTTTTGTAATTGTTGGTATTTGCAGTGTTTGGGTCTTACGCATGCTCTGCCATTGAGTGCCCCCCCCCCCCCCATCTTAATTCTTAAGCAAATGTATTGCTATGGTATGTGTGTGTGTGTGTGTGTGTGCCACCGCATTTGTGTGAAGGTCACAGGAGTCCGTTCTCTCTACTGCGGGTCCGGGGAGGAAGCGGAAACGGTCAGGCCTCTCCAGCAGGTGCTTGTATCCGCTGAGCCATCTTGCCAGCATCCCCCTTGTCATTGATAACACACTTAAATTAGCCTTCTCTGCAGTTCATCCACATCTTGCACACTCTCCTGGGGAACATAGGCTGTGGCACACTCCGTGCTACAGCCCCTCCCATCCTGGAGGTTTGTAACTTCGCCTCTCTGTTGATTTCTGTCTCTGTCTTAGAGTTTTTATTTTGTGGAAGAATCAAGCATGTATAAAAGAAGACAGATTGCCATTAAGTTCTCGTGGGTCTACCAGGCAGACTTAATGATGAGTCATGATGATCAAGTTTCTTTCTTTCTCTCTCTTTTTTTCAATCTATCGCCCTCCTGAGCACACCAAATTACTTTGAGTTGAATTACTCTATCCATAAAGCTTTTAAGATGTAGCCCTCAAAGATAAGGATGCTGTTAAAATACCCACCACGCCACTATCGTACCAAAGGTATTTATTCTCTAATATCAATAGAAATAATTGCCTAGCATCATAAAAACCAAGTGAATAGATCCGTTTTTCTAATTGTCTCGGTAGATTTTTAATATTGCTGGTTTATTCAAATTAGGATTCAAAAGACATATGCAGAATGCCTTTAGTCAAGATGTTTCTTTTATTTCTTTGGATATAAGTTTCTCCTCTTATTTTTCTCCCTGTGTTTTTTTCTTCCTTTGCTTCTTACTTGTTGGAGACTCTATATTAGTTTTTTGTGCAGCTGCCCGTGTTCTGGGGACTTGGAAGAGGGTGTAGTAACACCATCTAACAGGTTCCCGGCACTTGTATTTTCTGTGAATTTGCAGTAGAACCCTTAAGACTGTCCCTGGACAAGTGTCCATCCGTGCACTGTTAGTAGCTACGGATGATGGGCCCACACCATCCCATCTCTATGAGTAGCTGGAAATTTTCTGCTTGGTTTGAATATGTGCTTTGCCAAGGCTCTGAGCTGGCCCCTAATGCAGTCCACCCTCCAGGAGCCCAGGAATCTAGAGGATGTAGAAGATTTGAGCAACAAAACTGGAAAATGTCCATTTTATAATGTAGATACTCGCTGTCCCTTCGTCTAACCACTGTAGCCCCGAGTTAGTGAAGCCGTATCATAGCTGCATCGAGCTCACGTAATTTCAAATGTATGTTATATGGTTTTGGTTATAAATTACGAGCAGCATGGTGGCCTCATTGCCCTCCCTCTTCCACCTGACAATCCCTCCTTCTCCCCCTCCCCTTTCCTTCAACTTCTGGTTCCTTCTCCTCCTTCTCATCCTTCCTCTTATTTTCTCCCTCCCCTCTTTCTCCTATCCTCACTTTCATCTTCCTCCTTCCTCCTCCACTGCCCCCTCCTCCTCTTTATCCCAGAGTTTCCAACACACTAGGCAGGCTCTCTACTCCGAGCTCCACCCCCAGCCTATAGCCTGTTTCTTCTCCTCCTACGCTGACTCGACACTGATCTGGGGAGAGGAGCACGCCTCTGCCATTCTTGCTCACTGTTCCTCCACCCCCTTTCTGTTCTAATCATCACTCCAGGTAGGAGTCTAATGCTTAAAGACACATGTATTACGGACCTAAATATCAGCCATAACTACTTCATCTGGTACTTGATCTAAAACACAACATCTTACTTCCAAACCAATAAAGCACCAGGCACTCTAAGTGATCGTTAAGGGGCTGTAGCTTGGGGTATCTGTTATGCTTTTTGTTTGTTTGTTTGTTTTTGGTGTTTTGAGACCGGGTTTCTCTGTGGCTTTCGAGCCTGTCCTGGAACTAGCTCTTGTAGTCCAGGCTGACCTCGAACTCACAGAGATTCGCCTGCCTCTGCCTCCCGAGTGCTGGGATTAAAGGCATGCACCACCACCGCCTGGCTTATTCTTAGAACTCTAGTTAAATTAATTTTTCATTTGTATACAAGTGTATGGGGTGTGTATGTGTGTGTATGCATGCTCACATGTGTATGAGGGCAGGTGGGGGCAGTAGAGGCAAGTGCGTGTGTGCATGTGTGTGTGTGTGCACACGCACGTGCAGAGGCTCAAACTTAACCTATGATGTGTTCCTCAGTTGTTCTTTACTTTCTTTATGGAGGCCTCTCTCAGTTTGGAGCAAGTCAGTTCCAGCTAATCTAGCTAGATAGCTGAAAATCTCTGCCTCCTGAGGGCTGCTAGGATTATGGGGAGCCACCTTGCTTACTCAGTGGGGGTCTGGGGATCAGACACCAGTCTTTACAGTTATGCATGCACCAAGAACTTTACCCACTGAGCTGTTCTCCAAGCCCTCCTGCTTAACTTAGACATCTAATGCCTGTGCAGAATGTCACGTCAATGTACCCAACGGAGGACATGCAGTAGAGTTGGTGTTATTTTGCTTGATGTTGTCAAGTGGAGCAACCTAATGGCTTCTTCCTCCCTTTTCCCCCGTCCCCCTCCCTCCCCTCTCTTTTGCAGTCTGCTGCTTTGTTGTGCACAAGCGTTGCCATGAGTTCGTCACGTTCTCCTGCCCTGGTGCGGACAAGGGCCCAGCCTCTGACGTGAGTACCCAGTAGTCGCCAACCCTTCCTGGTTTACAGTCGCTTTGATAGGTTTGCTTTTGGTGGTTAAATGCAGAGAGGGAGTGTTGCTGGGCAGGAAAACGGGTAGGTCTCCACCAGGGTCTTGGTTAGTGACTGCCTTGACATTGGGGCCTGGAGCCCTGTGTGCATGACTTAGGCATTAGCGCTCCCAGAAGAAGGCAACTTTTCAAGACGTTTTCTAGTCATTTGTTGGGAGGTCTTAATGTCAGTGTACATGAATTAGAAGACTGGGGTTGATCCTGCTGTTATTCATCCCAAGGTATTAGCTGGGTGCAACAGAGCACACGGTAACCCCTCACCCAGAAAGCCGAGGGTTGTGAGCTGTAAGTCAGCCTGGTCTACACTGTGGCATCAAGTTTTAAAAAAAAAAAAAACAAGTAAAACAAACAAAGAATGACTATGACTAGCTGGACAGGAGATGACTATTTTTCATTTAATCACTATATGTTTTAGTATGTACTCAGAAAACATATTTAGTAACAATTTCATACTTCTGGTATGGATCTAAAAATTCCTACCTAAGAAAAGTTATTTAGGATAAATAAAGATAAAGTCAGTTGAAAAACAATATTAAGTCACCAACAAGATGAGTCTTATGAGGATAGGGCTGAGTGATTTGGTGTGAGTTTGTCTGAAGTTTGGGGCATTTATTGATTTTTCTACACAACAGTCTTGCTCAGCCCTAGCTTCTTTCCTTCCTTCTGTCAGAGGCTACTACTGGAGCTAGACAGTGAAAATGCCTGATACTTGCTTTCTTAGGCTGTCTGGTCACTGTTAAATGAACTTACACAACCTGAGGGGCATAGGAGAGGACTTCTAGAAAAATCCTTTCTTGTAAGAGAAGTGCACACATCCCCATCCCTTCTTTTGCCCTCTTTGGACTTTGTGTGTGTGTGTGTGTGTGTGTGTGTGTGTGTGTGTGTGTAAGATGCTTAGAGTTGTGGCCGGCTTTGGGGCTAATGAAAGAGACATCTTGAGCATGGTGCCTCAGAGGGCTGAAGAAACCTGTTTCATTGGTGATGCTAAGAGATGGAATTCTTCTGTGTCTCCTCACCCTGGATCGGTGAGGTAAGCAGTTTGCTGTTTGCAGTATGTAGCTCACATGCCCTAATTGACAGGGCTTTCCACTGTGCAGTTTCTCTCTGCCCAGGAGTCAGCTAGCTCTAGGGCTTTGTTTCTGTTGGTTTTTCTTGGATTTTCCTAATTTGTCTTTGTTCCCACACCGGTCTTGTTTCCCATCTAGAATTGATGGCTGACTGGGCTGGTTATGGTGGCGTACATCTTTCTTCCCAGCATTCAGGAGACAGAGGCAGGAGGATCTCTGCAAGTTCCAGGCTAGCCTGACCTATATAATGAGTTCCAGAACAACCAGGGCTATAGAGAGAGATCCTATCTTAAAAAACAAAAACAAAAACAAAAAGCATCAGGTGGTGATATAAGCCTTTAATCCCAGCACTCAGGAGGCAGAGGCAGGCAGATTTGCGTTTGAGGCCAGCCTGATGTGCAGAGCAAATTCCAGGACAGTCAGGGTTACATAAAGAAACCTTGTCTTAAAACAAAACACCTCAAACCAAAACCAAAGCAAATAAAAAACAAACAAAACAACCTAAATTTTGAACCAGGCCGTACTGGCACATGCCTCTAATCCCAGTACTTGGCAGAGGCAAGTGGATCTCTGAGCTTGAGATCAACCTGATCTACAGAGTGAATTCCAGGACAGCCAGGGCTATGCAGAGAAACCCTGTCTTGAAAAACGAAACAGAATAAAAAATAATTGGCGGCTGACCTCAGCTTTCCCCAAATAAGGAGGGGGCTGCCTTCTGCCAGTGGTCAGCCAGTTAGCATCTTGCTGCAGTCCAAGAGTTGGGTGTAGTGGGGGTTCAGGTGATGGCTGTTGCCATAGCAACAAGAACAGTCCAGTCTAGAGTTTCGGTTGCTGATACATTGCTTGGGAAATGTGATGCTTGAGGCTGAAAACGCCAAGGAATGGGAGCCATCCAAAGTTCTTTCAGATCTGAGACAGAACGTTAGTTTATATAAAATTATGTGAAAGGGAGAATTTTTAGCTTCTGTTATCGAAAAACCCAAGAGAAGATCTGACATGATAAGTCAAGCTGTTTCAGTGGAATTCCTGGGAGTCTTCTTCTTCTTCACTTCCTGGGTCAGCGTTCCTGTGCTTGATTCATTTTTAGGAAGTTTTCCTCCTGTGAGAACAGAATGGTTGCTGTACCTTTCCTTCCCTCTTTCATCAGCGCTGCAGCTCCAGCGCCTAGATCACCGTGGCCAGAAGGCTGGGCTATGCTGATAGGCAAGCTCTGATCATGTGCTGTGATGGTCTGAATGTTTGGTCCCTCCTCGGATTCATGTTGAAATTCTCACGCCCCTCCAATGATGGTATTTGAGGCAAGACTTTTAGGAAGTGATCAGGTCAAGAATGGGGAGCCTTCATGAATGAATGGCATCTGCATCTTTAGAAAAAGGACCTGAGAGATGTCTCATCCCCTCCACCATAGGAGGTACACCAAGTGTCTTAGTTAGGGTTTCTATGGCTGTGAAGAGACATCACGTCCACAGCAACTCTTATCATTGTGGTGGGACATGGTGGTGTGCAGGCATACGTGGTGCCAGAGAAGGAGCTGAGTGTCCTGCGTCTTGACTTGCAGGTAGCAGAAAGTGAACACTGGGCAGTATCTTGAGCTTATATGAGACCTCGAAGCCCATCTCCACAGTGACACAGTTCCAACAAGACCACACTTTCTAACAGTGCTGCTGCCTTTGGGGGCCATTTTCTTTCAAACCACCACATCAAGACAACAGCAATACAAGCAGAAGAGGGCTCTCACTACACACTGGGTCTGCCACTCCCTTGATCTTGGACTTCTTGGCTTCTAAAATCATGAGAAATGGCTTTGTAATTTAAAAGTCTCCTATTTTGGTTTGGTAGCCCAACTACCAACTTCCAACAGGAAGTTTTGTGCTGAGGATGGTTCTAGACAAATTGTGATTCAGGGTTGAGTGTGCCAAAGTGACTCTGGGATTTCTGGAGTCGAGACAAGGGTCTCCAGATGTCTGTAAGGATTCTCGACCTCAGCTTCAGTGTATGCTGTTTCCCTGGTGGCCAGGATCCTGGCACCAAGTGGCAATTAGAGTGTTGCCATCCCCAGTTGCTCCTACTGACCCATCTGCAAACACGTGGGCTCCTTTCTCCAAGAGGCTGTCCTCTGATAGCTTCGAAACATTGACTCTTCTGGGAGAAATTCTTCTACCAGAGAAACACTAATGGCTCTATTTTGGGCTTCTTATGCCTCTGACAGGAGTAATGGAACTTGCTGGATTAAGGATGGGTTTTTTTTTCAGATGAGGGGGAAAAGTGTGCCTGGAACCCAGGGCTTCTCTTAGGGAACCACCAGCACTATGGTAAAGGTCTACAGAAAACTCTAGTAACCCAACCCAGACCCTTTAGAAGTGAAGGTTTAGATCACTGTATCAGGCAAAAGAACCACTATCAGCGGAGGTGCTTGCTTGGCAGCAGAGGGAGCACAGAGTGAGTAGAAGGGAGTTACAAGCAAGTACCACCTGTACCCCTGCAGCCAGTTACAGAAATGAAGGCTGTAATTATCATGTGTATTCTGTTATGAATACAGTTTGTGCATGTATGCACCTGTATTAAGCAAGTATCTGCTTTCTTTCTGCTCTTAGTCTTTTGTCATGTAAGATTAGATGTGTCAACTTCAGGTCAGCACTTAAGTTGTTAAATCTACATCTTAGTATTTAAATGCAAGGTATCAAGAGAAGAGAAATCAGTGCAAATCATTCCCAAGGGAAGAGAGTGTATTTACCTCATTCCCAAGGGAAGAGAGTGTATTTGTGGTTAATTCAGATCTAATGATATCATCAAGTGGACTATGATTTCGTTGTTCTTTATTTGGAAATTAAATATAATTCAAAGATGCAGATACTAAGTTCAGGAAGGATGAACTTACAATGGTTTGATTTTTCAAGTATCAGCTTGCCTGGGTTAAGAGATGCCCAAAGAGCTGGTCAAACAGTATCTAGGTGTGTCTTTGAGGGGTTTTCCAGAAGACCTTAGTGCTCAAGTGTAGAAGGAACGGCAGGCTGCTTCCTGCCACCTGGCTAACTTTACCCAAAATAATTACATGGAAACTGTATTTTTTAAACACTGACTGGCCCATTAGTTTTAGCCTCTTATTGGCTAATTTTTACATCTTGTTTTAACCCATATTTAGTAATCTGTGTAGCACCACGAGGTGGTGGCTTACCGGGAAAGATCCTAACCTGCGTCTGTCTTGGAGAGGAGAGTCATGGCGACTGCCTCATTTCCCTTCTTCCCAGCCTTCTATTCTGTCTACTCTGACTATTTAAGCTGTTGTCCTATCAAAGGCCAAAGCAGTCTCTTTATTAACCAATGAAAGTAACACATAGACAGATAACCCTCCTCCATCACTCAAGTCAGTAGATGGAGTAAGGCGCATGGCCCTCATCTGTATGGTGGGTTCATTCTGTATGTATTCATCTGTATGATGGGATGCATTCAGGCTGTTGAAGACCCAGGTAGAAGAAAAAGGCAGACAAAAGGTGAACTAGCTCACTGTTTGTACTAGGGCATCTGTATTTCTTTTGGCCCTCAGTATCAATGATCCCAGGTCTGAGGTATTCAGGTTTGGTCCAGGATGTATACCATGGCTTTTCTGCTTCTATAGCCTTTGGACTTAGCTTTGGTGGAAATGAACTACTGGACCTCTTAACTCTCCAGTTTGCAGATGGCAGATCATGAGATTTCTCAGCCTCCATCATCACGTGAGCTGATTCACATAACCAGTCTGTATATCTGTAGCTACATCTTTCCTCTTGGCTCTGTTTCTTTAACACATATACCTACTCCGGGAGGTGAGAGCTTGTATTCTCATTCCCTGGTTAAAGAGTAGGGATGGATGGCC